AAAAAAAAAAAAAAAAATCGTATTCTTTTCTTTCTCCCCAGAATGTGGAACTTCCGGATTCCTTCTCCGCTGAACTGAGGTCCCTCCTGGAGGGCCTGCTGCAGCGAGACGTCAGTAAGCGGCTCGGCTGTCACGGAGGCCGGTAGGCTGTTGCTTGTGCCTTTCCCTGTCTTTGCCTGGAAAGCAAAGCAGTTCACTGCAAAACATCAAAAATCATCCCTAGTCCTTAAAAATCTTCTGTTTCTGTTTGAAGAGGAAAGGAAAAAAAAAGTCACATGGGAGATAAGTACATCGTCCTGACTGTTCTGTAACTAGCAGATTGAAGAAGTTGCCAACTTTTCAATTATTTTAAAAATCGGTCATGTAGCTAGTGGAAGTGAGTTCTAATTTTTCGTAGTTCATTTGGTTAAGTTTTAGTAGTGATTTTATTTGTAATTATTGCAGTTTAATATCCTGCTCAGGTTCTCACACGCTATCTTACACATGCTTTCTATCTACCATCCTCCTGCAAAAACACCAAAACCCAGAAATCAAACAAACAAAAAACCCAAAAGGTGATGCCTGGAAAACTTACAGAGAAAGACTGAGAACAGACCCTTCCTGGTGCTCTCCACCCCAGGCTGGCCTGCTTTTCTTCCCATTCCCAGGCTTGCTTTGCATAAGAAACAACTTTTAACTGTATGTTATGTTTAACATACATGAATGTTTTATGTATGTATGTCGCACGTGTGTGTATTTTAGAGTAGTGTATTTGTGTATGCATATTATACCTACATATTATGGAGATAGCAAAATAATGCACTTATGTACACATTTCCTTATCTATTAGTTTGAGGAAGTACCTATTCCTATGCTAAGAGATGAAGATTTAGCTCACTCCTTACTTTCTATTTAGCCTTCCCTTTCCACCACCCCACAAAAAGAATTGAAACCCTATTTTGGGTTCCCCTTTTTCTTAACCTTTGTTGAACAGCACAGGTTTGAACTGCACGCATGGGTCTGCTTATACGTAATTTTTTCCAGTAAATATATGGGAAAAGTTTTTGGAGATTTTAAGACACATAGCCCAGGAACATGGAGCAAAATTAAGAAAAAGTTAGGTATGTCATGAATGCATAGGACTGGGCCTCGTTTCACCAACTATAAGCAGTATGTCTTGAGTCCCAACTTTATAAAATGAGGGTTTGGACATTCCTGTCTTTCATGCCCTCTTCTCTCTCCCACTGACTAGCTTCTGTCATTGTTAATTTTCTTTTTCACATCAGTAAGTCGATACTGTTTGCTCCTGTTCTGTGATCAAAATCAATTTTTGTGCTTTGCTCCTAGGCTGGTTTCAAAAGTTGCAAAGAAAGTAGTAATATTTACACTATATGGCAACATAAGTGCTGTGCATTACATAGTTCCTATCATCCTGGTAATGAACCTTAAGTTCCTATGTGATATACATGGGAGGCATCTATATGTACATGTAGGCTTTCATTTTCTCCTGAATTTCTTTCACGGAGGACTCAGGCCCGCCAGCCCCAGTGGCAGCCGGGTGCTCTGTTCCTGCTCAGGAGCAGCCTCCTATCCAGCGCTTCCCCCTCTTTTGCTCTCCTGGTTTGAATCTGCCATTTACTCCATCCTGTGCTTTCCGCTTGTCTGTCCCCAATCCCCCACTTACCATGTTCTCAAGTAACTGAGGCGTGGGTATGAGAGGTAAACTTCCTGTGTTCCTACATAGCTAGGATGTCTTCCTGCTGCTCTCAAGCTTGTTTGACATTTTGGCTGCATACAGAATTCTAAATCAATAAGAATTTCCCCAGGAACTTTGAAGGTGCTGCCACATTGCATTCACGTGGACAGTTGGTACCGGCCACAGAACGCGTTATCACTTGTCCGGCACTTAGAGTCCCCTTCACTCAGAAGGCTCATGTTCTCCAGCCTGTGGTGCGCTCTTACCTTACGAACTTGACATTTCTGCTCTTCGGTGCCTTTGGTTCGCTCCTAGAAGTCCTGTTAGGTGGATGTTGGGATTTCTAGAATGATCATCTGTGCTTCTGACCTTGTATATTATCTGTATCTTTGCTTTGATTCTGTTTTACTTTTTGATAGCTTAAATTTCCAACCCTTTAAAAAAATCTAGCAGGTTTAATCTCTGCAAAGTAGGACTTTTCAGACCCTCCCTTTCCCCAGTTAGAATAAACAGCTAGATAGAAGTGTTTTGGGGTTGGATGTGGAGGAAGAAAGTGTGTGTGTGCGTGCGTGTGTGCATATGTGTGTGTGTGTAGGGTTTTATGTACCGAGTTCCAGTCAAAGCTCGTCTTCAGCCTGTCTCACTGCCCCGCCCCCACCAACACTGTGACAAGCCGGAGCTCAGCTTCTCTGTCCCCAGGGCATTAGCTCTGCCACTTTTTGCTGTCAATCATTGCTCCTCCGTCCACTCCTCCATCCCTCTTTTTGTGGTGGATTTGTCTACACCTTCCTCTGTGTCATGTTAGTGCTTGTTGGGAAGGAGCTAAGCTGCCTGCCTGTGCCCCGTCACTGACTTGAACAGGAAGTCTCCTCTCTGGTTTTAACTGCTTGGATATGGATATGGATATAAATATGGAGGTAGATATACACAGCGACCTTCTCGTTTAGCTTACCATATTTAATGGGTGGACAATGACAGCACAAAATGGAACAGAATAAGAAAACCACCTAAGCGTTGGTGGTGAAAATGCGGAAGACACACTTTGACTGGGATTTCATTCATCCATTCTTCATTCAGCATTTACTGAACACCCCCTGGTGCTGGACACTCTACTCTCCTAAGTGCTGGGGCTGAGGCAGTGTCCAAAACAGACACATGCATGTCAGCTCCTTCTTGAAGCTTACATTGTGTGTGGGGAGGACAGCGTTACAGAAATGATCAAAAACTAAGATGATTATAGACATTGAGAAGACCGTGAATGGCATAAACAGGGCAGTGGAGTGGACGAGGCGCCAGCCTTGGGCAGCAGGATTGGGGAGGATGTCCAGGCAGAGGAGTCAGTGAGGACGGGGCTCTGCCATGGAGTCAAGCTTCCATGATTCTGAAAAGCAAGAAGGCTGAGGAGCTAGGAGAGGGAGGGCAAAGTGGGTCAGCGGGGTAGTGGGCTCGGGAAGGTTCCCCAGGCCCTTGTGTGGCCTGGGTGGGGTGCTGAATTTTGCTATAAGTTCAACAGGAAGCCTCCGGAGGGTTTGCAGCAGGGGAGTAATGAGGCATTTGAAAAGGTGATTTGGGTACTGTATGGAGTGGACGAAAGTGGAGGCTGGGAGGCTGGAGGCAATTAGAGACGGGCAGGGAGCGGTGCCCATGGCCTGGTGGCCTGGTGTCCCGTGTTCACAGCAGGAGGTGGTGTGGATGTCAGCATCCCGCCATGACCAAAGACAACACTGCTGCGACTGGGGACCGCGGTGAGGAGTGGAGGCTGTAAGAAGTAATCAGGCCCTCAGGGCTTGCTGAGGGGCGGGTGTGGAGTGTGAGGGCATCGGAGGTGGTTCTGGCCCTTGACTTGAGACAGCAAGGTTTGGGAGGGCAAATAGAGTCCTGCTGTAGACCTTTTGGCCTCACTATGTGCAAATGCTCAGTAGGCCCCTGGATTTGTAGTCCTCCCCTAGTGTGGGGCAAAGGTTGGCATGTGGGATACAGGTTTGTGTGTCACCTGCAAGTTCAGGGCACCTAATGGGCCCAGGCAGGGTGAGACCACCCAGGGAGTGATTGTAGAGGACGGGGCCACGAACCAGCCCAGGACTCTGCGACACAGACAAGGGGACTTCAGGCCAGGACGGGAGAGAGCACTCCTAGGCTGGTTTCAAAAGTTGCAAAGAAAGTAGTAATATTTACACTATATGGCAACATAAGTGCTGTGCATTACATAGTTCCTATCATCCTGGTAATGAACCTTAAGTTCCTATGTGATATACATGGGAGGCATCTATATGTACATGTAGGCTTTCATTTTCTCCTGAATTTCTTTCACGGAGGACTCAGGCCCGCCAGCCCCAGTGGCAGCCGGGTGCTCTGTTCCTGCTCAGGAGCAGCCTCCTATCCAGCGCTTCCCCCTCTTTTGCTCTCCTGGTTTGAATCTGCCATTTACTCCATCCTGTGCTTTCCGCTTGTCTGTCCCCAATCCCCCACTTACCATGTTCTCAAGTAACTGAGGCGTGGGTATGAGAGGTAAACTTCCTGTGTTCCTACATAGCTAGGATGTCTTCCTGCTGCTCTCAAGCTTGTTTGACATTTTGGCTGCATACAGAATTCTAAATCAATAAGAATTTCCCCAGGAACTTTGAAGGTGCTGCCACATTGCATTCACGTGGACAGTTGGTACCGGCCACAGAACGCGTTATCACTTGTCCGGCACTTAGAGTCCCCTTCACTCAGAAGGCTCATGTTCTCCAGCCTGTGGTGCGCTCTTACCTTACGAACTTGACATTTCTGCTCTTCGGTGCCTTTGGTTCGCTCCTAGAAGTCCTGTTAGGTGGATGTTGGGATTTCTAGAATGATCATCTGTGCTTCTGACCTTGTATATTATCTGTATCTTTGCTTTGATTCTGTTTTACTTTTTGATAGCTTAAATTTCCAACCCTTTAAAAAAATCTAGCAGGTTTAATCTCTGCAAAGTAGGACTTTTCAGACCCTCCCTTTCCCCAGTTAGAATAAACAGCTAGATAGAAGTGTTTTGGGGTTGGATGTGGAGGAAGAAAGTGTGTGTGTGCGTGCGTGTGTGCATATGTGTGTGTGTGTAGGGTTTTATGTACCGAGTTCCAGTCAAAGCTCGTCTTCAGCCTGTCTCACTGCCCCGCCCCCACCAACACTGTGACAAGCCGGAGCTCAGCTTCTCTGTCCCCAGGGCATTAGCTCTGCCACTTTTTGCTGTCAATCATTGCTCCTCCGTCCACTCCTCCATCCCTCTTTTTGTGGTGGATTTGTCTACACCTTCCTCTGTGTCATGTTAGTGCTTGTTGGGAAGGAGCTAAGCTGCCTGCCTGTGCCCCGTCACTGACTTGAACAGGAAGTCTCCTCTCTGGTTTTAACTGCTTGGATATGGATATGGATATAAATATGGAGGTAGATATACACAGCGACCTTCTCGTTTAGCTTACCATATTTAATGGGTGGACAATGACAGCACAAAATGGAACAGAATAAGAAAACCACCTAAGCGTTGGTGGTGAAAATGCGGAAGACACACTTTGACTGGGATTTCATTCATCCATTCTTCATTCAGCATTTACTGAACACCCCCTGGTGCTGGACACTCTACTCTCCTAAGTGCTGGGGCTGAGGCAGTGTCCAAAACAGACACATGCATGTCAGCTCCTTCTTGAAGCTTACATTGTGTGTGGGGAGGACAGCGTTACAGAAATGATCAAAAACTAAGATGATTATAGACATTGAGAAGACCGTGAATGGCATAAACAGGGCAGTGGAGTGGACGAGGCGCCAGCCTTGGGCAGCAGGATTGGGGAGGATGTCCAGGCAGAGGAGTCAGTGAGGACGGGGCTCTGCCATGGAGTCAAGCTTCCATGATTCTGAAAAGCAAGAAGGCTGAGGAGCTAGGAGAGGGAGGGCAAAGTGGGTCAGCGGGGTAGTGGGCTCGGGAAGGTTCCCCAGGCCCTTGTGTGGCCTGGGTGGGGTGCTGAATTTTGCTATAAGTTCAACAGGAAGCCTCCGGAGGGTTTGCAGCAGGGGAGTAATGAGGCATTTGAAAAGGTGATTTGGGTACTGTATGGAGTGGACGAAAGTGGAGGCTGGGAGGCTGGAGGCAATTAGAGACGGGCAGGGAGCGGTGCCCATGGCCTGGTGGCCTGGTGTCCCGTGTTCACAGCAGGAGGTGGTGTGGATGTCAGCATCCCGCCATGACCAAAGACAACACTGCTGCGACTGGGGACCGCGGTGAGGAGTGGAGGCTGTAAGAAGTAATCAGGCCCTCAGGGCTTGCTGAGGGGCGGGTGTGGAGTGTGAGGGCATCGGAGGTGGTTCTGGCCCTTGACTTGAGACAGCAAGGTTTGGGAGGGCAAATAGAGTCCTGCTGTAGACCTTTTGGCCTCACTATGTGCAAATGCTCAGTAGGCCCCTGGATTTGTAGTCCTCCCCTAGTGTGGGGCAAAGGTTGGCATGTGGGATACAGGTTTGTGTGTCACCTGCAAGTTCAGGGCACCTAATGGGCCCAGGCAGGGTGAGACCACCCAGGGAGTGATTGTAGAGGACGGGGCCACGAACCAGCCCAGGACTCTGCGACACAGACAAGGGGACTTCAGGCCAGGACGGGAGAGAGCTGGGAGCATGGGGCACTGGGAACATGAATTTCCCCAATGCAGGCTTTCTTCAAAGTATGCAACCTCTCCTGGTGTGTGTGAACTGAGCTTTCACAGTGATCTTTAGGGATACAGCCTTCTTCAATTTATGAAGGCGTTTGACATGCATTATTTTATCAGATATCTGGTTTGCTTCAAAATAATATGCTTATTATTTCATCTATCATGACTTAGAGACATCTGCTGTAAATCTCATGTGTAGACTTTAATTTCATTCCTATTTAAATTTATTCTCATTGGTGACAGAAACACACACACATATATATATGTGTGTAAATGTATATGTAAAATAACTCCTAGGTCCTCTTAGACTAGAATAAACATCCCAAATAAATTATCATTGGGGATAATATTCCTAGCTTCAGCACGCGGTATTTCTGAACATCCAGTGTTTCCTGTGTTGCTTTGAAAGAAGCGTGTTTTACTTTCTTAAAGAACCGAAAGTAGTTCTCCGTGTTCTTGACAGGAGACAGTTTTTGCAAAGTATCTTTTAGATTTCCAGATGCATGCTGAGCACTGTGTGGCTCTCTCTCCTCTGCAGTGCGCAGGAAGTCAAGGAACACAGCTTTTTCAATGGCATCGACTGGCAACATGTCTCCTTACAAAAGGTACTCTGTCTGGGACCCTGCGCTGGGCACTGCCACCTCTGTGCTCTGTCTCCATCCTGCTTCCTGCGTCTGTCCCTCCAGGGCCCCGGCCCCGCTTCCCCCAAGGCCCATAGGGTTTTTCTCGCTCTTCTGCTAGTCATTGCCGCATGGCTAACTCTGTCGGGGACAGCTTCTTTCTCCTCATTTCCCTAGTTTAAAATATTTGAAAATATCTTCTATATAAATTAATCAATGGTGAAATGGAGCTGTTAACCAGCTAATTCAAATGTCCACATGAGATTTTTTTTTAGCTTTAGTGCATTGCTTGGCTTCTTATCTCAATGTCACTCTTTTGACCCAGATCCATATAAAAATGTACAAGAAATGTTTGTCATAATTTACTTATACTTTCTAGCCCAACACCACATAATTTAGGAATTAGCATGACTGAGTATCAACAGAGTCCTCTTTCCTTACTCTGTTTTTATATTCTTATTGATATAGGAAAACACCCCAAATTAAAGTGTTTTCAAAATGTTGGGCATCAGCTTTGGACTTGTTTTTGCATGAGCTCAAACTGTCCAGGAATGATTAGAATTAGCTTCTGTGCTCTGGTTCTCTGAGCGTCAGCCTCAGGACATGCGTGTGTTTGGAGCGCTCCATCCAGGCTCATTGCTCGTTGAGGTCCTGGCAAGTGGAATGTGGTGCAGTGATGTCTGGGAGAACATGTTTTCCTAAAGTTGAGCTATCAGGGTGTGCAGCCTTGAGGCTTCATTATATTTAGTAATGATTTAAGACTTTGGGCATGAGTCTTCCCCCCCGACCCCCTTAAATTTGTCTAACACCTGGGGCCATGGTTTTTGGGGCTGTTCCATGCACAAGCTTGTCTGAGAAGTATGGCCTGTGTTTGTAATGGCTTGAATGAAGTGCTGCATGGAGTGTAGCCTGTTGCCATTTCACTGTATTCTCTTTATACAACAGTGGGTTGGGGCAGGGCCGTAAGGTCACCTGATAACTGAACCATCCTTCTTTGGATCTTCCAGTACCCCCCACCCTTGATTCCTCCCCGGGGGGAGGTCAATGCTGCTGACGCCTTTGACATTGGCTCATTTGATGAGGAGGATACCAAAGGCATCAAGGTACACCTGTGATGTTTGCCTGCCTTCAATGTTTTCGGAGGGTGGGGGGATTAGTTATTGGAAATCCACCTTCGCGATTGTCTTAGTATTGGCCTGTTTGTGGAGTGTAACTCACAAATGAATATCTACATATCTGAAGAATATGAAAGTCAGGGACCTAAACTGGTTAAAGAGTACTAAAGCTTTCTTCGGGCTCATCATTTTATGTTTGACAAGTGGCAGCATGGTCAGTTTTTTATTGATTTGGATATTTTTGTGATTGAAATAAAACTCAAACATATGTGAATCAGGGAAAAACAACTATGTGATAAAGCAGTTCCCCACCTTGTGCCAAAGAGCCAGTCATCTTAACTTTTCCAAGTTTTTCGATTTCTCTGTTGAGACTAAAAGAGCAAACAGCATGAATCATTGTGCATTTGTCCATCAAAAGTGAGATAATCACTGTTTTTTTTAACGTAATCCTTTGCATTTTTCAAATGTCTGTTCATATCATTATTTTTCCAAGTAGACAAGACGTAATTGCAGATGGCGAGTCATGAGAGAAAAGCATTCTCTGGGACGCTCAGTCAGAGAGCACTGCTACATGTCAAGCTCCCGTGTGCCCCCACTTTCACAGCCACCCCAGGAGCTGCCCACCCACCTCCAGACACTCCTGTCTTTTCTCAGCTGCCTGTGTTTGTACCCTTCTTATATAAGACCCCCCCACCCCCAATTTTCCCCACCAAGTAGCTTCCCCTGCCAGAGGGCTGCAGCGCTAACACACACACACCAGCGAGGCAGGGATCAAGGAGTGACGGGTAAGATTGTAAGGGCCCTGTGGGAGCCGTAATAACTCAGAACGCCAGAACCAGAGCCAAAGAGGACGTGGGGACGATGATGATGGCTACGTGGCTGCAGGAAGATGGGAAGATGCAGAAAGGAGAGAAGCTACTGAGCGCAGCACAAGGAGGCCAGGCGCAGCCGGGAGCTGAGGAAAGGAGTGGCCATTAGCTGGAACCTGCGTGTCTGGAGAGGCGGGGCTGAGTCACAAAGGCCAGCAGGGGGTTTGCAGGACCAGGTCCTTCCAGGAGAGGAGGCTAGGCGCAGGGGAGGTGCAGAGGGCCAAGGCCACTTCGTCGTGTGGAGCAGGGGCTTTCCTGGGGGACGGCAGTGTGACCGCTGCCCCAGCGTGTGCGCTGCCAGGCGTCGTCTGTAGCCTGTCGGGCGTGTAAGTGCCACCACAGAGCCGTGCCTTGGGGAATGATCCGGTTATAAAGTTACTGAAAATTACTGCTGCCAGAGTAGAATTTTGACATCAGATATACGACTCTCCATGTAAGAGTACTAACCCGTAAAATGACTGTGGCGCAAGGGCCCACAGAAATGCTGGATGTTAAAAAGAGATTCTCATACTTAAAAATCTGTAAGCTATGATCACAGCTTTGGAGTCAGCCTGGGCTGGCTCAGACCTGCACTAATGAGTTGAGTGAATCTGGGCCATTTGGGTCACCTCCTGAGCCTCTGTTTTCTTACCTGTGACTAGTTTCAATGCCAAGATTTATCTGAGGGCAGAAGAGAGAACCTTTTTAAGCCTCCTGGCATGCAGTCATTTCCTGATCTAGGAGCTTCTATTATTGTGGTTTTAGTTCTAACTGACCAAGAGCTGAGAACACGTCCACTTAGAATCAGAAGTAGTATGTGGCAGGGATACAGCTGGAAATGAGGGGCCGGGGCCTGGCCGGGACAGCCCAGCGCAGCGGAAAGGCCTGCCTTTAAGACACTGCGCTTCATCTATTAAAAAGCAGCCAGATGCAGAGGAGGGTTGTGGGTCGGCCCCAAGTCACTTCGGCCTCACTGGCCAGGCTGAGGATGGCTTCCCTTTATACTTAAAGCAAAGAGAAGCCGTTATGTTTTTTTTAAATTCATTTTTAATTTGTTGTTAAGTATAACACAAATTCAGAAAATCATATGAAGCAAATGTGCCATTTAATGAATGATGATTGAGTAAACATCATAGGAGAAAACTAAGGGGAAACAGTGACCAAACGTAATGCCGGAACCTGGATTGGGTCTTGGATCAGAAAAGATTATGTCACTAGAGAAAGTGGTGAAATTTGAGTAAAGTCTGTGGTCTAATTATTTATAAATTGACCAGTCATCAGTCAATCAATCAATTGGTCAAGTGGCCCAAACAATGCATTATTCTTTGGGGGGAGAAAGCTCCCCTGATATATACATATACATTTTCTTTTTTGCTTTAGTCATTTTTAATAACCTAGGCCAACTCATAAAACCCAAAGCTCTCTGAAATTATAGGAGGTGGAACGGTTTTTATGTGCAGCAGAGGTCTCTGAACTTCTGGAAAGGAGTGTGTGTTTTCACTTCTGGCTGACTCAGAATTGCTAGAATTTGCACCAGCATCCCTGACCACAGGGGCGCTTCTGGCTGCGGTGCTCTAACACCCCACCATGCACACACTTGCACACGTGGGTGTACACATGCCTGTGGTGTGCATGCTCAGATCAGCTGAGGATTTCGGCTCTGGGCTTAAGTTTAGTCTGAAGGAAACTGAACAGGGCGAGGCTGTATGGATCAAAGGGATTCCTACTAGTAGGCCCACTGACCTGCACCACACAACTGCAGCTCGGACGCATCCCATGTTCAAAGTGCAGCTCCTGCTAGGCGGGGGAGGGAATGGAGAACTTGGAGTAATAGTTTGGAAGAGAAGTGCTGTTGTTAAATCCACGTTTTATTGCAGCACATCTTAAAGGCTAAGTTGCCTAAATTCCCCAAGTATTTTCAGCTTTATGCTTAAAAATTTGACCATACCATTAAATGTGCTTTAGTGGAAGGTTCATGAAGGAACTGTGAATCCAGCCTCTTTTTTACCTTTTGTTTTTCTCACTTTTGAGATAAATTGCAGGTGGTTAGAAAACCCTCCTGAAGTCTCCGTTTCAGTTGTTTCTAAAACAACAGGGATAGGTTTGCCTACTTTTATAAATAAAGTATCCTCACCATAATCAACATTTTATTTTGCTCTCAGAATCTTTTAATACTTAAAAAAACGCTGCACGTGTTAGTTTTCGTCAGCAAAAATGTGAAGATAGTCTAGAAGACTGGGCTGAATCTAATTAATCCAGGACCGCCAGTGAAGCGCCATCAGTTATTAACCGTTTGTGGATCCTGGTTGCTTGACTATCATCAGTGGAGATTTATGACAACTAGTTGATTGTCTTTAAATGATTATATGCTGCCGCCTAGCTGTCTTCCTACATACGGGTATGATAACTTCTGAATCTGTTGACTTTGTAAGTATGTGAAATCATAAATATCTTGATTTCTTTAAATAATAAGCTTCTTGATTGCGACCAAGACCTCTACAAGAACTTCCCTCTGGTAATCTCCGAACGCTGGCAGCAGGAAGTAGCGGAAACAGTTTATGAAGCAGTAAATGCAGACACGGATAAAATCGAGGCCAGAAAGAGAGCTAAAAATAAGCAACTTGGCCACGAAGAAGGTAAAACAACTAGTGTGTCTCAAAATATTTCTAATGCAATGACTTTCTAAAATTTCTCGTAAAGCTGAAAAAGTATTTGGGTCATAAAATACTTTCCAGTGGGGGGTGGGGTGGCAATGCCATACACTCACTGTTTTACTGTTATCTGGTTTGGGAAAGTTCAGTGTTGTATTTTAAAGGCTTTAGCTAACATATAAATAAAGAGAGTCAGCAGTATTTTGTCAGTACATCCTTTTATCTTGGAGGGTCTGCAGTGAGTTTGAACGTTTTTTCCTTGAAGATTATTATGGTGTCAGGAGTGGGGCTGGCTTCACAGGCTTCTGACCTTTGCAGTCCCATAGGCATTAAGCCACTGAGTTTAATAAATTCTTAATCATTTTTGAAAAAGGTGCTTGCATTTTCATTTTTCAGTGGGTCCCACAAAGTATTTAGTTGGTCCTGATGAGGAACTTAGCATCGCATGTCACTTGTCAAGAGATACAAATGCATACAAATTTTTATATTAAAAATACCATTAAAGAGTCACCGAACCGTATTTTCTTTCACAGTATTTGAGGGTCTTGGTAGGGCTTCCAAAGTTGAATTATTTAGCATCAATCAGTTACTCTCGATTCACAAAATATTGTCACTCTTGGTTTTTCTTAAGGTTTTATGAATTTTGGATATCTATATTGGTTGTGGTTGATGATCATAAGATACCATTTCCCTTTACCTTTTTAGAGATTAACATGATATAATAGGAATAACTAGAAACACTTGTGTTCACCCTTGGATGGGGCTTCGTGATGTGGGCATCGCGGGTGTTAATGACAGTTTGCCAGAGGTGTGTGTCATCTCTTTAGAGAAGTGTCCTCTATCCTGGATGAAGTACCCCTTATATAAAGGCCGCCCGAGTGCACCCAGGGAATATTTCAGCCCTTTAACTGCGCTCACCTCCATTCTGCAGGGAAAGGGGCTTTACTTATAAGCTGCTCTTCAGAGAACAGGACCATGGAGATCACTCTGGACTGTGTTTGCTATAGCAGATTTTTACGTAGGAAATTATGTTATCCAGGGAGGGTGATGATGTCACTAGAATCTTGACCAACTGGACCCAGAAAAAATACATATATACCTAAATGACCTTGCTGAACTGTATCCTTTTGTTTAGAGCTGCAGTTAGAACATTGAACAAATTAATGAGTTTATCTTCATATATAAGTAATTAATCATAATTAGGTCTTGATCTAAACAATATAGTTTAGATGTAGCTCTGCGAAGTAAAAATGCAAGACTTATACTTGAAATCTACTTCAGAAACACAAACACTTATTTGTTAAAATGACTCCTCCAGGAAGCTTGTCCCCTGGCCTCTGAGCTTCCCTCCCCTGGCCCCTCCTTGGATCTTCCCTGCCGCTTCTGTCCTTGTCCCTGTGATGCAGCAGGGGTATCGCTAATTTTTTTATTGTCTGAATCTCCAACTAGATTGTTAGCCCCCTGAGGCAAGCAGGTTCTTATCTCTTAATTCACTGCTGGGTTCAGAATGCCTAGAACATGCCCAGCTCCTAGGCGTCCCCTCACCATTGAATGAATGAGGGAGTGAATGAATGATTGAGCATGGTCCCCAAAGACTTTAATGAAGACAAAGCAAGCCACTTGAAATTAACCTTTCTTTTTTTTTTTTATAAGAGATGATACTTCACTATAAAAATGTAATCAGGACTCACCATGGATGTGAATCAGCTTGGTCTCTCTACATCACCATAAATTTGAGGGATAAATACAACCTCAAGGAAGAAACAGCTTGTGATCCTTGTGTTAACCTTAGCTTACGTGGACCGGGAAATGCCCCTGTTAGACATTAAAGGAGACCCCAGTCCCGAACCAAGGCGAAAGTACGCAGGCACAGCTCTCTGGTCTCCAGTCTTCCTACATGATAGAAAAATAGGACCAAACTTTTGCCTTCTCAGAGCAATAAATGCACATCATGAATTTATTAGTATATCGAGAAACAGCCATTCAGTATGTTAGCAGAGAGCTGAAGAAACTCTGTTTTTAAGTTCTCACTTCATGTGTTTATTAACAGAAATGATGATTTTTCTCTTGTGTTACATTTATAGAAACTTAACTTTTTCCAAAAAGTGTGTGATTATTTTTTTCTGAGAATAATAAAGACATTCTGTTTCTGAGCCTGTTTAATTTATGGCTATTTTATATTCCTCAGATTATGCTCTGGGAAGAGACTGTATTATGCATGGGTACATGCAGAAACTGGGAAACCCTTTTCTGACTCAGTGGCAGCGTCGATATTTTTACCTCTTTCCAAACAGACTTGAATGGAGAGGCGAGGGGGAGTCACGGGTAAGTCTAAAGCTGGGTTACTGAGCACTTGTTTTCATTATCCTGGATGTCCTGTGGTGGTTTCACACTGCTGGCGTGTTTCATGACATACCCTCCTAAGCCCTGTATACCTATTTTAACTTGTGTACATGAGATTTTAATGTTCAAACTTTTAACTTTTAAACTTCTGAGTCAAGTAGAGATTTTGTAACATCTGAAAATAGCCCATGACATTCCATGAGGTCAGCAGCAGGCTGGTTTGAAGGCAGCTGGAGAGAGTTGGCGTGGTCAGAGAGGAGACAGAGTGGGAGGTCTTGGGGTCAGAGGTGCTTCACAGCTCAGTGAGTACATGGTGTTGATTCTCTAAGTCTCAGTTTTCTCATCTACAAAATGAGAGAAGTAAGAATTATAACAACCACTACAAGTTTGTATATAAATCTTGGGCCAGGTGCTATTAAAAAACAACTCATTTGTGTGTGACCTTTGAGGGGCCAGCTCATATTTTACAAAGCACAACCAGAGCTCAGAGAAGTCTGGTGCCCATGACATAGCTGGACAGTTGTGGGTTAGTTAGGACTGATTCTCACCAGGGTCTGCCTGCACTCACAGCGTCCCCATTACGTGGCCTCCTCTGGCCGGATTCCCGTGGAACGAGGTAAGTGATAAAAGCTGTGATGCTGGGCACAGAGGCGAGGCCACTGATACATGCTTCCTTTGGTGTCCACTTCGTTGGAAACTTGTGATTTCACCCCACAGACAGGATGATACAGCTGCTTCTAAGGTCCTTGCGAGAACTAATGTCTGTGAGCAAGATAAAAATTTCCCATACACACTGCTCCTTTAAGCAGGGCAGACAGCCCATATTAAGCACCTACGGTGTGAGGAGCCGAGGTGGCATCACCATGGAAGGCGTCAATCCAGGTGGAGGGCGCACTTTTTTCTGGGGAGGGACTGGTCAGGTTGCCGGGACCAAGGAAGCAGGGCCGTGGTCTCGAATGCCAGGAACGTCGTTGGCCTGTTGGATGTATAGGAGTGACTGCCCATCAGCCGCCTGGCCATCCGAGGTTGTAAGCCAACTCCTGTTTACCTGACCTTGGAATGTGTTTTTAAACGCCTGTTGGTAAAGTTACTGTTTCATTAGGACTGAGTGCTTTTACAAGTAAGCAAGATCTTCCCACTGTTACTAGTACCACAGAGGTCATCTTCTAAAATTAATACATCTAAGATCTGAGTTATCATTAGTAAGATTATTCAGAGTTTTGAAATTGTAACTCAGGGGCTGGTATTATATAATATATACCATTCTATTATATATATATATATACACACACACACACATAGTATTATATGTACATATAAAACTAGTGCCTCAGTTAGGATTCATACACTATATGTGTAGTTACATAATATATAATGTTTTCAGGTAACCAGTGGCCCTGGTCATGTGTCTTGGTAAGTCACCATTGTGCACACTGAAAGGAAATTGTCTCACTTTGCAGGATATTTGAAAATTAAAAACAAAACAAAACAAACAACATTGGATGCAATAAATTATCTTGGTTTTATAAGAGGCAGCGTTTAGTGTTGTATTTCAGAGGCTGTGTAATGTGCACAAGTGGATTAGTAGGTACAAATGAAACGAGAGTTTATGATGGTGGTGTTCGTCATCTAGGAGTCCTTGAGTATTTATCCAAAAAACATAAAAGAGTAAGGTCCTCATGACATGGCAGCATTCACCTTAAGCAATAATGCTGTAGACCTAGTGTGACACTCTTCTAAGGATGTCGCCTACTTATAGCATCTTGAAATTTATTATATCATTTTGATATTGTCAAAACATCATCAGCTTACAAGCTAGCATTGCCAGACTGTTCCAGAGCTGCTGTGCTGGGAGTCAGCCGCGCGCCTTTGCTCGCATGTGAGCCGTGTGCGGCACACCACGGTTCCCTCACAGCTTTATTGATAGAATTTAGGTGACTGTGATACAGAGCGCACATGCGATTCGTAATCATTCAACAGTCAGTTCAGTGTTGAGGGAACAGATTTGCTGGGTGCCCATAGAGACATTCTTTCTCTTCAGTTTCCTTTGCGATGCTGTTGTTTGAAGTTCATATGTTCCTTTGTAGCCATTGTCCCCCCATTTCTAGAATATCATGAAGCAAAGAAAAATGCCAGTTTTTTTCTTTTCCCTTTCTTTTAAAAAACTTTTTCTAAGCTAGTAGTCCTCAGTATTATTTATTGATTTAACTTAAGTCATGGAACGTGAAGTAATTGATCATTTTTTAATTTTTATGCCTAGCAAAATTTACTGACAATGGAACAGATTCTGTCAGTGGAAGAAACTCAGATTAAAGACAAAAAGTGCATTTTGTTGAGGATAAAAGGAGGAAAACAGTTTGTCTTGCAATGTGAGGTGAGTTTTAAAAAATTGTTTTCCACAGGTAAAAAGTTCGATCAGTTATATAAACTTTCAGCCGCAGTGGCTGCCTGGCTGTGAAACATCCTCTGACTCCGTGCTTTTCTCACTTCCAAACTTAACAGTTATTATTAAAGAAGTAAAGATTATGAAATGGTAGGAGGATGTACGTGAAATGATTTGATGCCCCTACCTGGAAGTTCTGCCCAGTATTTAATAAGGGCCTGGAATTTTGTGATGTAATTTCCCGTTCTTAATCTCTCAGCGTGTTTGAGGTTGAAGTTTGTATGTTTAAATAAACAAGATAATAAACTGACTCCTCTTGGGGAAATGCTATCCTTCTCCCCACAAAGTTCTCTTGTACCTCAAAATTTAGTTCCTAAACACTTTCCTACTGGTAGGCTGGGTGTGTGTGTGTTTTCAAAGAGCGCATAGAGATAAAGCAGTAGTAGATCCAAAACGTGTATTTCATAACTTCATAGAACTTGCACACACCGAGGTGCTTTTTCATTTGTCAGAGCTCTTCCTCGCGTATTATTTTATAGACTTCAGTTAGAGAAGTCAGCAGTCAGAGGGAATCTCTAAACAGATTAAGGCAGTGCTCACAGTGGGTCGGCGGGGATCCTCTGAAGGACCTGACCGGGCCTTTCCCTCCTGCCGGCAGGGGCGCCTGGTGGGGGGGGCTCTGGAGGCGGCTGTGCCCTGGGGGTGGCCCAGCGGCCGCCACCGCCCTGGGGCAGGCGCATCCCGGGGGCTGCCATTCGTGCCCGCGGCGTCGCGGCCCTCCTGCCGAGACCTCCCCCTTTGCGTTTCCGTGCAGAGTGACCCAGAGTTCGCGCAGTGGAAGAAGGAGCTGACCGAGACGTTCACGGAGGCCCAGCGAGTGCTGCGACGCGCCCCCAAGTTCCTCAACAGGCCTCTGTCCAGCGTTGTTGAGCTCTCGAAGCCACCCCTCTGTCACAGGAACAGCAACGGCCTCTGACCCCGAGGTGGGCGTCCCAGGGAAGACGGTGCCCCAGGGAGTCCTCACGGCGATTTCCAGCCCCGGAAACGGAGCCTTTGGAGAAGTGCAAGGACTAGAGGTTCCGTCCGCGTTTCTCGGGGTTCTTCCCCAGCTGGGAAGACCCGGGCCGCCGAGATGCTCCAGTAGGAGCTGTGGCTGTCGGCTGAGTGCCCCCTGCCACCATCACATTTTTCTGCTCTCGAAACTACTGAAGACAACGTTTTTTCTTTGCTATGCACTTATTTTGGTATATATGAAATCAGAACTTGAAATGATTCCTACTAATGACTTCAGTTTTTATGTCTGATATCCAACATACCGTAGTCTTGCCAAGATGGGATTTTTACCGTCTCCAGAGGCAGGTGATAGATTGCCCCAGCATTGCCACATTCTATCTACTGCTGATTTTGTGTGTCTGTCCCATCCAACCGGGGGACTGGGTGGGAGGGCAGCCGTGTGTTCCTCTGCGCACTTCAGAACCGGCTTCTTTCCCTGGATTGAAAGGAGTTGTTCCCCAAGAAGGGCGCACGTGGGCCCTCCCCGCGTGCGCCTGGCCAGGGGGCTCTGGCCAGCTGGGGGCAGAGGGAGGGGGCCCTCCCGGGCCAGGTCGTGCGCAGCAGCACCTCGGTGGAAGGGTTGGCAGTGATCCGAAGGCCAGGCGGCGGTGTGTGAGCGTCCAGGGTATCAGCGATTGTCGGCCATCCTCCAGGCAACTGACAGCACCTCCCGTGGACGGGTGCGCATGGACGCGGAGCTCCCGGGCCTCTCCTGGGGCCTCTCCTGGGTGCGGACAGTTATGGAGCTGTGGGGCAGTCATTCTGGTTCCTGCTGCCTGCCCTCGGTAAACTTACCAGTCCTGAACGTGTAGAGGAAGGAGAGGATTGCTCTGTTTTACGTTTCAGTATGATTTTAAATGAATTCTATTGCGAAAAAGAATGCTGAAGAATGAAGGTGTCCAAGTGGGTTCACTGTATACTGACTTGTACTGTCGTTCATCTGTCGTCAGTGAATAATGCCTAGTGCTGGGCGGGGCGCCATGTGTGCCAGTAACAACATCCGGGCTAAAGGCTGTTCCCTCTGCCCCGGGGCCTCCCCTCCCCCTGGGGTTTTGGTCTGTTTCCACCTCCCCACGTGTTCCAGGCCCCAAATAAATAAATGCTGGGTTATAAGAACCAGCGTGTCGCCGAATGATGTCCTCCATGTCGTCAGACTAAAATAAGAACAATAATTTTTAAAGTCCACATGTTTGTCCTATTCCTCATGCAATTTTATTGTATGTTTCTAAGTTAACTACTAATAGTATAAATAACTTGAAATCATAATTACCTGCATCCTGTCCTCAATATTTTTAGTGGTTCCAAACCTTTGCATTTACATTTGTGTGCTCTGTTTATTGAGGAAGTAAGTACTATTTAATGAAATTATATTTTGAGAGTTTGGAAGAAAATGCATCTTTTATCTCATGGAAGTTGCTTTGGAAAAGACATCTGGGGGCTCACTATCCATCAACTACTAGTTGGAGTTTAAATTAGCATACATGGTCTGTCTGCCCCTTCTAGCATAGGAACAGGGGGTACTGTTTACATGCATCCCCTGATTGAAAAGGGAAGCATAGCATTCAAAACCAGTTTTAAAAACAAAAACCACAAAACCCCACCGGAAACAGAAAAGCAGTTTTTCTGCATAAAGAGTGGGCATCGTCTCAGCCATGGTTAATTACAGCTGTCCCTGCTGTAGGTATCGTCTCCATTCCCAGCCTCACGTGTGCTCAGCTCTTGCAGTCCAGGAATCACTGTACCTCCTGCCTCTGCTGGACAGAGTAAAGATCTTCATGAGGAGGTGTGTGGATGGCTCCAGGGCCAAGGCTTAGGTCTCCCATTTCATACCTAGGGTATTAACTATGCCAACTCACGTCTGTTTCAAAAATAGAATTTTTGCTCTGGAGTAGAACATAAGGGGCATCTCTCTTTTCAAAAAGAAATATGAATTGGAAAAATATCCCAAGAGTGCTTCTGCCTAAAACTTATTCCAGTTAAGCTTTTACAGCTCCCCAGCTCATACATGATCTGTAAGGACATGGCTGAGAAGTGCTTCATCGAGATGTCATCGATTAAGAGCTCTCTGGGAGGTTAAGATGAGCAGCTTTGGGGACCGTCACCACCTGAAGCCCGTTGTCCTGATAGGTAAGAATTTCTGCTGCTGAGGTGACACCCGGTGCCTGTGCGGTCAGAGGTCCGTTGGCTTAGGCGTGTTGGGATAGTTGGCTGTTTGAGGAGGTTTTAAGAGGTTTTTACATCATCGCAAGAGGTTTGAGCCTTCTTGCATCTGCCCCACTCGAAAGGACGAAATTCAACACACTCCAAGAAGGTATCCAAAGTTGATACCGTTTGTACAAAATTAATAATGAGTCTCAATTTCATAAGTCCAGGGAATTAATGAAGCAAAGCTTCAAAACAAGAGATGACTTTTAAGCTGCTATACAACATATATGGAATCAATGTAAGACTTTTGCGAATCCAAAGTTAACTTTTAACCCAAAACATGCTCTGGTGCGTGAATCCCCTCCTGTCCTTGGGGCTCACGGTCTTTCCTTCTATATCATGTTTAAGTGATTTTTTTCTGCAGCACTTGTAGAAATGAGCTATTGTTTCACCGCTGATGCAGGTGTTTCCCTACTCATGCCTCTGGTCAACTCACTGAACTTGAAGTTTCAAATCATCCGTGTAAAAAGAAGGGGCCAAATGTCAAGATGTACTGGACACAGGAAGCATGCTGCTCAAGAAGGACAAAGCCACAGCCAGCCACCATCTGCTCAGCCAGTATCAGCTTGATTGACGGTTTGAAGTACGCCATGTGGATTTTAGAAACAATCGTTTAAAGGCTCTCACTGGTCATTTAAAAATCTCTTTCTAACTGACAGTGAAGTTTAACTGGATTAAAAGGATCAAAATGTTTTTCTCTTTCCTTCACGCTCTTAAAATTTTCACTCAATGTGTAGCTGTGCCAATTCAGTACAGCATTGGACTTTACGTTGGAATTGATTTTTCTGTTTCAGAAACTGAACCTATGAAGAAGAAAACGAAATTCTCAAAGTTGGACCTTTTTCCATGATGTAAATCTATAAAAAACAAAAACAAGTACTTTGAAATGTGCTGGTGTAAATTAAGACTTAGCTTGTATGATTTCATAATATATAACCTTCTCAGTTGTGTGCAGGGGAGTATTTGTGTGTCAGTGAGAGATGCTCAATGAACTAACCCCTCCCAAACCCCAGGAGATTGATGCACTGTTTGTACTGGAGAAGAGACAGCCTCATTCAGGTCTGTGACAGCTGCTGGCTGGGAGGTCAGGTCATAAGCTCTAGGGACGGGTGGAATGGGTGATACAGAGAGAAGAATAGTGGTAGAACTGGGGCAAGGGGCAAAATGATTATTTTGCTGGTAAAAATCATTCCCCTTTATACCATAAAGCACTAAGAAAATGAGTGAGTTAAAAGTTGATGGCCTTTCTCCCCCTTTATAACAGGAGGTAAATTGTAATTATTGTAAGATTAGGCCACTTTTTTCCTAAATATGGAGCTGCTGAACTTACTAAGAGAGCAATTACTTTCCATGAGGACTTTGTGTAGAAATTTAAGTTCCCATTGCCTGTGATCCCACACCTCTGAGAAGGTGCACAGGACCTAGAACTAACACCCCAACTTTGTATGTGTACCTTGCAGCTACCACGAGGGTCTGAGATGGGGCCCTGGGGGCCATCAGCGTTCTGTGGTCCAGTTGCAGACATTGTGGCGCATGCACTGAAATTGCAATAAAACCCCAGAACTCCAGTATTGGGCTGGCTGTTTAAATCACGTTCATTTCCAGAGTGAGCTTTAATGGTGTAAATTTAAACATCTCTTTCCTAAAGATCTCCCATGAAAGGTTGACTTGAGAAGCCTAAATTAGTGAACAACTTAAATTCATGTTAATAGGAACTTTTTTGTATCCAGGCCACATTAAAAAAAATTTGTTTTTACTGTAGAATTAATCGAAGCTGACCTCTGAAATAACTCCTTAATTTCCTCAAGGCATAATAGACTTTAGATATCCTGTCTCAAAGACCGAGAGAGCTGCCCTTTCACAGCAGATGAACAGGGCTGCCCACTCCAGCCACAGCCAAAGGCCGGGAGGAACACGGGCAGCCAGCCACTTGGCCCACGTGGCTGCGTTGGCATTGACTGATAAATGGAGCTTCCAGACTTTAAACTGCCTGTATTTAAACACACACACAACAGAAAATGGGTTAACAGCATATGCAGCACATCAGAAACCTGGGGAAAAAACTGCTTTCTGGAGTTAACTTCTTAGAGTAGACTCTCTACCTAACAATCTCAAAATCAGCTTTGAAAAATGGTAACTATGCTCCCATTTTTTATTTTTCCCTCATTTGAAATATTGTTCATGTAAGGGGAGGGAATGGAGAAATATTTCTAATTGTGTACTCATTTTACAAAGGACTTAAAATTTAATTGTTTCTTAGTTGATGTATATATTATATGTGGTTTATAAGCTAAGCACTGGCCATTCTTTAGTTCTATTGTTAAATTGTATTTTTCTATGTTTAACTAATTATAATAGATTTGGCTCTTTCTGGGTAACAAAGATTGCTTGACTACATATATATAAAACAAGAGTTCTATTTTAGCACAAAAGCATTTTATATTATTTATTGAACTGCTTAAGTTCATTTTCCTCGAAGCGTATCCCTTATCATTTCTGCTTTTTATTTGTATAGTTTGTTATTTAAAGAAATGGCAGTCCTTCCTGGTTTTCATAAGATAAAATTGACATCACGCGTACAGCAACGTGGGGCAAACGTCTCCTCTCACTGCCGTGGACGGTTTTCCACAATGCTTCTCCTCTGGCCTGTGCTGAGGGGCATGTGCACCTTTTGGGTAACATCTGACAGCAGAGCTGCTGTGAAATATGCTTTCATCTACCTCTTCAGAAGGCCTCCTGCTTGTTGACAGGTACCCCTGAATGCTTTATTCTAGGCTGTCTGTGTTATCGGAGAATTGCAGTAAAACATCTCGGTGTACTCCCCTCAAGATGCGGATTTGTTTTGAAAGCCACGGCAATGCCAAGGGCCCAGGTGAGCAGGCAGGTAGACTTCCTTCTCTGCAGCTGACTTTCAGGAGCCAAGAAGCACCTGCTGAGCGCCATCTCCTACTCTGTGCCAAATCCCACGACCATTCTTGCCATCGCCGAAGATTGGATTCTGGGACCTGCTGTACCAAGCATTCAATGGGGAAAAGTTCCTCCTTGGCACCCTTCTTTAGAAATTGACCAGCTGTGTTCACAAATGCTGCTTCTAGGAATAGCACATTTGAATGACCTTTTTCCCCTCGCTGCTTGAAAATGGTTTGGAAAAATGGGGTCACAAAGGCAAATGCCCCTGCATACGATTAAAATTTTGCAGGAGGTCTAATTTTGAGCAGACCTGTAAGGATGTATGTGCCGTAGAATGAAGATGGGCCCCTGCTGTGAGGGGAGTGTCTTCTCCTGCTGCCCCTTTTCTCTGTCTGTTTGCCTAGTTGCATAGCCATCAATGTAGTAACATTTGCTATATTCTTGGCAAAGTGTAACACCCTTAAGGGATTCAGTTTTCTATTGTGCATTGCTACACAACGTGAAGCCAGTGAGTTCGATATTATAAATCTAGATGTTGTACCTATAAAATGATTGTGTGTTTTTTCTTTTTTTCATCTTGATTGTCCCCGTGGAGGTTTATATGTTTGCTAGTCTCAGTATACATTCACTAGTGCACGTTTGAAGTAGCCCATGTGCGATGCTGTTTCCCCTCCACTGTCACCTGCCCATGGATGACATGTCACTGCCGGCTGGTATCACCCTCTTCCATGGCTGTTCTGGAGCAGCTAGGCTGGTTTTCTGTGTTGGTAAATTGCTTATATAAATCTCAATAAAAAGGATCTGTATAAGGATACCTACTTTGGTGTGCTATTTTCCCCCCAATTACAAACGATTTCTTTATCAAGCTGTCAAGACATCAGGAGATGGCTCATTTTAAAGAATCCTGGTTTTGGGGGAAACCATGCAGAGGTTGATTTTATAAGGGAAGGGGAGCTGCTGACAAGCATTTCTGCCGATTTCGTGGGTTGTTAGAGCCCAGCCAGCTTCCCAGTGTGGGGTTTGGAGGCCAAGTGTGCATGCATCCTACAAGATGGGTTGCAAGGAAAGAGGGTGAATCAAGTCCAGGCCGTGAGGACACCCAGATGCTCCGTCTCATCTCCTTTGTCTAGGCTACGCCAGGCTCCCCAGCTTACTCTCTGGGCAACCTTAGAGTCCCTCCCGGAAGTTGAGACCCCTTGCTCTGTCCCCGTTCCCACGATGTGCTAAAGGATCCCATGGTACATGTCACTTTAAACCAGAAATCCAAGTAGTTGGCCCCGGAGTCCCAGCTGCCTGGTCAGAACCAAGGTAAGGTGGGTATTTCCTTGAGCTGGAAGCACTGGCTCCTTCTCCTGCTAGTTCAGCAAGGAAGAAAGTCACAATGGAGCCGTGCAGCCATCCAGTTTCCCCTGCAACGTGTGTGTGTTTGGCGATTTAAAAACGGTAACAGTAGAGTTGATAGGAGGCCCAGCTCTTGAGTGGGTAGTCACCTCCATGGACAGACGGCAGCCACACAGCGGCCTTACATAACCCGGGTGCCCCTGAGAACTGCGGAAACCCAGTGACTCCTCGGTGCTCAGGACGAGGCGGGCAGTGCCGGGTTGAATCAGATGATCTTGAATCATTCTAGCCCGTAACATCCTCCAACTTCATGACCGGGGGTGAATGTGAGGGACTTGGACTATACTCACTGATCACAAAGGAAATGCACCCCTGCCCCGCACGTCCCCTGGCTTCTCCCACGTCGTCGTACAGGTAACTGCCTTACTCTCTCTTCCTTCACACTAGAGCCTGTTTGCCTGGTTTACCTGGGCAGGAACTGTGTGAATTGAGAAGGGGACTCAACAATTGAATGCCATTCTTTTCCTGGTCATTTTTTTTTTTTACCAGTCTGGATATCTGGAGATTGAAAAGGGGTTTTCAGTCCAAGTTAATCAGGCTGGCTACGTCTGGGATCAGATTAACCAAGTTAAACCCTGAGCCTTTATTGTGTGCCCACATTGGCAGCTTTGAAAATACATGTAATCAATACAGTCCATGAGGGAAAATGTATTTAGTGCTCATATTAAGATCGGTAACAGAGAGGCAAAATGGGAGACTGAGGCACATAATCATGGCAAGGGGATATTTTGCTTAACTTACAGATGTGACAAACGACTGGTTTTTATATTTTTATTTTTATTCCTTAACCTTGATATCTGGGTAAAATGCCCAGTTGTTCAGTTACCCTTCTGGGTGTAGATACAGTGTTGATTTGATAGCCCATAAAACACATCTCTGCCTGGAGGTAGTTTATGGAGATGGAGTCAGCTTGCCTAGGAGCTGAGCCAGGCTCCCCAGCAAACTCCAGGTGGCTGTGTGCGGCTTCCCTCACCTCTCGGTGCCTGGACCACTTCACATCTGCAGTGGGATGATGATGCGCACCCCAAATGCATCACAGGTTTCCTGAGGATTTTGTAAGTTGAAATATCCAAGTGCGTGGAACAATATGGGATGTGTGGAATTCACTCAGTACAGACTCACTGGTGGTTTTACTAATATTTTGAACTCCAGGGGGATCCGCAGCCGTGTGCTGTAAACCACAGCTCACTGCACCAGGTATGGGAGTCCTGCAAGTCTGCAAGCCTACACGTTGGAAGGACCTGCTCCTCATTTTCAGGAGTGACGTGCAGAGCCGGGAGCCTCCTGTAAAGACTGGTGGTGCCGCTCTTCCTGTGCTTTTGAAACCTGCCAATTCCTGCAGTCAGGGAGCAGGTCTGGTTAAGAAAACTGCTGCTCTTATGTTCACATAGTGAAATGTGCTCAGCATAGATGTACACCATCACCCCTCGAACTGTGTGTGATAGGTGGAGGTGGAGGTGCAGGTGTAATTGTTAAAATCGCAGGAGGGGACCTGGTCCTTCATGTGGCCCGGGGATGCCTCTGACCCCTGGTTCAACTCCTTCTTAATATCAGTGTGATTGACAAGATTTTTCTAGACAACAGATCAGATTCATAAGGCACAGTGGAGGTGGAGACGTGAAACACCATAACTGAGCTTCCCACTCAGCTCAGGGTCGACTTTGCCCACAACCCTGCCCAGTAGGTGCACAAGTGAGGGTGGGAGCCCTGGATGGTGCCGACTGTGGTCATGAGGTGCTCCACCATCACAAATACATCACAGATGACCTTGGCCAGGGGATCCGTAGAGGACAGTGTCACGTGCTGTCCAGGTCCTCCCTCACTGAAGGGCTTCTCATCTCTGCTAGAGGCATGGGCATCAGATAGTCCTCGTCTGTGCACCCCTTCTGAGATGGCTCAGCTACAGAGAGCTCCTTGCCCAGTGTCACATCTTTCCCACAGTGCCCACATCCACGACTAGTTGACGCAGATGCGTACAGGCCTGGCCATCTTGTTCCAATTTGGGGAAAACTAGTTCCAGAGGTCACAGTGGGGTTGGCCAAGGCTGGCTGTGGGCCTTTGTCACAACTAGGCATTTCCCTCTGCCCAAACCTGGTTCCTTCTCCATCCTCCCATAGATGTTGATGCCAAGAGCACTCATTACTAAATAGCCGCTCATTACATTCTATCTCAGCTAAGATGTGTGCATTTTATTATACGGACTCAATTTCTAAAAATTCTATTCTGGTATCTGCTTCTCAGGGAACCTAGTGTGCAGCTGTGAGTTCAGGGTGTGGTGGGAGAAAGCAGGTGCCAGAATGGGACACGGGAGCTGGACTCCTTGCTGCCCCGCTGGGCAAGGCCACAGGTGGAAGTTGGTGGTAATAGGGGGAACATAGATCGCCCTTAATTCATGGAGGGGGAGGCCCAGTGTTCATATTTTCAACAGGGATGAATGGGGGAGGTACCAGTGGAAAGAGATGCACTGATTCTGTGCCCTATCAAGCTGTAAAAGGGTTTCAATCTAACATAGAACCAGAGGATATAAACTGGAGAACCATGCACAGGTCCTCAGGAAGACAGAACCTAAGGACTAAGAAATGGATTTCCTATAAATGCCCGAGTTACAGAAAATGGATCCTGTTAGGATTTTCTTGGATGGTGGGGGCTTGGTCAGAGGTTGCTTCCTATCAACCCTGGGGAGTTTCACCAGAGGCACGCGAGGGAGATGGCCCAGCTTGGACTGGTCCCCCAAAGTGGGCTGAATTGAGCTTTGTGCGTGTGACTGGACTGGTTTTGTCTACTTGGGATGCTTTCTATGCTGGTCTCTGTTTTTTCCCTGCCCATAAATACAACCTATCCCAAACCCTCAGTTGACTCTCCCGTGGCTTGCTGCATAGAGGGTGCTTGTCCTGAACTATAGTTCCTCTGCTATTGCCAATTAACCTCACCTGTTTAAGCTTGCCTCCGTTTACCTCTATATTTAGGTGAACAAAGCTTTTGGTAAAAATGAGAGACATGGTACATACAGGATTATGGGACTGGGTGGCTATGGCTAAGTGTAATGGATGCATTGGAAAAATATTTTTTTAAAACAAGCAAAGAGAAATGAATTGCCAATTGAAAAATAAGTGTGAAGGCCAGAGAACCTCCCTAGGAGCAGGAATAGGGGCTGAATCTCTAGCAGGAGGGAAAAGAAAATGCAGGATGCGGTAGTCAGATCAGATGACCGCCAAAGATGCTTAAACTCCCCGCCGAGGCAGGTCTGCTCTGCCTGAGGAAGAATGGGACCTTGTCACACAGCACAGGGACATGGGGCTGACGTCCCTGGGAATCTTGCATCCCCGGAGCCCTCTGAAGTCTCTGAGGCTGCAGGAGTGTTCTGCTCCTCCCTATAAAACAGCAGCATCCTCTTGTTGGAGGACGATTGTGGATAAAGTGAAGGCAGCTATGGCCAGGATTCTCACCTGGCCCTGGTTGGCTAGCTCACTACACACGTGTGGGCAATGCATTGCTATTGACTCTATGTAAAGAGCTCCACCCAGTGCTCTGGGTGACACGGTAGTACAGCTACAGGACTGCAAGGCAGCAGGAGAGCAGACTGGAGTGGTGGCAGTGCCGAGGACAGAGACTGAGACGGAGTGGTGGCAGTGCCGAGGACAGAGACTGAGACGGCTGCGGGGGCAGAGGGGCCCAGAGGCAGAGCCTGGCTTGCTGCATGCAGACTCGCTCTGAGAGGACAGGATTCTCGTGATTGACCTGCCACCGTGGGAATAAAGTTGGGTATAAACCCTTTCACCCCAAGAATGTTCCATTGTCACTTTTCGGTCTCATGGAATCCATAGGTAACTTGCCTGGTGCTGAGACCCATCGGCAAGACAACGATATAGTGGCAGCATGGGCCCTGTCAACATTGGCTGCTGCCCCACCTTACCTCCTACCCCCGCTAAGCTAATATGATGTGAAGTCACCTTGTAGCACAGCTGGGGACGTGCCTGATGAAGGAGGAAGGTCACTATGCAGTGGAGCCATAGACCCAGCCAGCACGAGGGGCAGAAGCAGGACACACGCGCAGGCCTGGGTGCCGAGGGTGGCACATGAGGCTGCCTAGGGTGAGTTAGTGCATTTGGGGTCGCTCTCCTGGGCGACGGGCTCTTACTGTCTGAAGGACACTGGGAGGCGCTGCAAACTCACCATGGGCCTGGCTCTTGCAAGCATGGACAGGCCCATGCTAGGGGTGGCTGAGATGCCAGGACTCCTGTGCTAGATGGTGAGGGAAGGGACAAAGGGCTCAGAGAAGTGGGCCTGCTTGTGGGGATATACTAAGTAAGGCCAAAACCCACGGTGGCACGGAGAGGACACTGCAAGGCCGTCAGGCAAGAGGGCCACTGGGAAGTTCAGGGTTGGCTGTCCTCTGCAGGCAGTGCTGATGTTAGGAAAGCTTTTTCAGATCTACATTTAGACATTCTGTCATTCAGTCATTCAACAAACATCCATTGAGCACCTACCATGGGCCATAAGGAGTGGGACAGTCAGCAGGATCAGCTTCCCCATTTTACAGTGGGGAACCCTGAGGCCCAGGGAGGTGAGGTCACTTCCCTGAGGTTGGGATTGGGCCTGGCTCCAAAGCCTGTGCCCTCCCCCACACCCAGAGCTGGGTGCAGACACCCCACCTCCAGACCCTGGTCAGAGGGTGGGCTTCATTGGGTTTCCTCTCAGGGATCTCTCCCACCTCCACCCCGAGTCTCTGTTCACCCCTTACTCTGTTCACCAAGGATTCTGGGAGCAGCTACTCAATGCCCAGCCCCATGATGGGTGATGAGATGAACAGGATCCCCCAGACTGGTGGGAGATGGACAGACAGATGTCTGGGGAAAGCATCTGTGGGACCAGGTCCTCAGACATGTGCTCCAGCCTAGAATCCCTGTGTTTAGTTATTCATCCCATATGCATTTATGGAGCATTTACTGTGTACCAGCCACTTAAAGAGACAGACACAGATAGACAGTTGCCCTTCATCCCTACGGGGACCATGACAATGACAGACTCCACAGGAGCCACACAGGAGGATTCTCATGACAGCCGCTCAGACACGTGCAGGACTTCTCTCCAGCCTGTTGGCACACAGCTCTCTGATAGTGGGGTGACAGCCCAAGGTGAAAGAGGCTGGTGACATCACTTACCCAGGAGGAAGCAACCGCCCCAGTGTGTGGCGAGGCAGGGGGTGGCCAGGCCAGGGGCTCCTGACTCACAGAACGTGCAGAGATGAGGAACAGACTAGAATGGAGCACCCCAAGAGTCTGGAGAGATGGGTCACCCACAGTCCTACTCGAAAAGAAAATGACAGGTGGCAGGAGGCTGACATCAGTTGCCCCAGTGAAATGTCACTATCCCTTAGCCACACTGTGGAGCCAGAGCTCACCGACTGGAGAAAAGGCCAGGTCTCCAGTGAGAAGGACCAGCAGCCCCAGGGCAGGCGTGCAGGTAATGGCTCCCCTAGTCGTTGCTCGGAAGGACTGATGGACCCTTGGACGGTCCATCCCAACTGGACCAGAAGCACCAGAGGGGGCTTATCACCTGGGGGCCTTGGTAGGAGTGCCTCGCTATCTCGTGCTTTCTGCCCATCCAGATAAATGCCCAGCCAGGGGACAAAATATTGCTCACGAGAGCTGCCCTAAATCAGTGTGGTCAGTGCAATCCTAGATGGTGCCAGGGGATTTTTTACAGCCCACCAAGTGCCCGGGGAACAAAGCAGACATGCCAGGTGCCCTGGGGACAAAAGTTTAAGTCAACTTAAGTATCACTGCAGGGCTAAGCTTTGGAGACCCCCAGCCCCAAGCCCAGAAAGTCAATTCTGCATGTCCATCCAGCCATTTAAGACTGACATCCACGAAGAGATGTACAGGACAGAGAGGCTAGTTTAGGACCTGGCACGAGGTGGGTTCATGTCTTGCCATCAAAGGCTTGAGCACCATGTGGAGAAAACAGGATCAGTCATCTTTAACCTCTTGGTGGGTAGCAACCTAAGGTGTCCCACACCGCCCTCTGCCGGAGACTCCCAGGGACCCCTGCTCAATCTTCACGTTGATTGTAACAGACTGCCATTTCCAATTGGACTTCTTACGGAATGCTAATTCTCAACACCTGGAAAGAAATAAGTACTTGGGGAAAATACTGCTCCACCAGCCACGGGAACAGAAGAGTAACAACGTGGATTCGTGGTTGAAATGCTTCTTCAGAGAAAGAGTGTGTTGTGTTTGAATGACCGTGGGCTTCAGAATGAGAAAGATCTGGATTTGAGCCCCACCCCTGCCCCTTGGTAGCTGTGTGGGCCCACAGGATATATTTATTTTACTGAAATCCCTGCTTTCTTCCATCTGGGGCGTGAGCAAAGCTCTCTTATAACCTCCTGTTTGGTGCAGTGTCTAGGACTGTGCCCTCTGGGGCTGGCACTGCCTGGGTTTGAACCCTGCCTCTCCGCTGCTTTAAAACAAAACAAAACAAAAAACACCTTTCTGGGCCTCAGTCTCACCATCAAATGGGAGTGGGAAAACCCTACCTTAGAGTGTTGTCAGGAATGTTAAATGAGTTCATCAAAGCCCTCAGGTGGGTGTCTGGGTGCGGTAAGGGCCGCACGCTTCTTATGCCAGGTTTCACTCATGGATTGTTTCCCAAGAGGCACCAACATTAGTTCAAGTTTATCTCCTTGCAGAGCCCAGCTGGGATGTAAGTGCCGGCTCTCCTCCTTTGCCGAGGCCCTGGGGCCTCCAGTTCTCTGCCTGGGGCGGAGTGTGTGTGCTGCCTGCCTGGGACAGGCCGGACGGGTGAGAATGTGCCTGTGTCGGGAGCTGTCCCCTCCTCTGCTCCGTGCCACCAAATATGTCCAATCTCTCTGAGGCCTGGCCAACGGCCACCCCGGCTGCCGTCTCTGGCCAGCCCTGGAGATCACCGGCTAATTTTAGAAATGACTTGTCGACCCAGCTGCTCTATCACACCGGCGCAGAGGGCGGGCGGGGGAGGCCAGGAGGAGCGCTCGGGGAAGGGGAAGTGTGAGCGGGTGCTGAGGGTGCTCCTGACAGTCGTCTGCCCCTGCCGTGCTGGCTTGGTTGGGGCTCTCTGCGCTCTGACCCCTGGGCAGGAGTGGTTCCTGTGACCCGTGGCCTCGCGTGGAGAAGGTACTGTCAAGCTGGGTTTTACCATCAGCTCCTTGCAAGCCGATTGACATAATTTCCAGAACGTGCTTTTGGGGGCTGCGGGGGCAGGCGTCTGTTCTCGGGTCTATTCTGGGCCTTTCTGGTGTGGAGAGCCCCGAGGCCCTTCTCCCTTCGCTGTCTGCCCGCCTCCTTCGCTTAGAACACAGGAGTATTTCATGGAGGAATGTTAGCACAGATGCTGGGAGGCACACTCTCTTGAGGATCGCCTTTGTTGGGCCCCTGCTGCTTGCTAATCATTCGTAGAAATACGCGGGGCGTGGGGGGAGGACAGTCTTCCCTGGGGCACCCTGGCTGGCCCACGGCAGGCCTCCTGCCCCTCCTCCGCTCCCAGGGGTGGTCAGTTTCTCGTCAGGGACCCAAACTGTGCCCTGCTCCCGGTGCCAGCCCTGCTGAGCATCGGCCTTGACAGTGAGTTTTTCATTCCCAGTAAGCGCGCGGCGGGGGTGGGGGCAGGCGCCTCGCTCAGGAGGGTTTGAGTTCCGTGCGGCGCTGACCTGGCCCTCTGTCCCAGAAGAGCTGTTTGATCTGGCACGTGCCATTCCCAGGCATTTCTGTGAATGGGGAGGCTTCACAGGCCTCGGTGGCAGGGCCGGTGGGGACGCGGCGGGGGCTGTGCTCTAAACGGCACGCTGTCCCGGAGTCACAGACCTCGCCAGCTGCGGGCCTCAGGGCCACAGCCTCCGAGCGGCTCTCCTGCAGAGGTGGCCCGGAGGGGGAAGCCTAGCCTGCTCCTGGCTGCCCAGTCTGGCCTTGACCTGGCAGGGGCCTGGGCTTCGGTCCCACACGGGGTCCGGAAACCCCAGTTTCTATTTTGCTCTTGTGGCCAGCCAGGAAGATGCCCACCTTGTTCAGGGCACAGCTCACCGAGGCTGAGGGCCCCGCTCGGGCTTCCAGGGTCCCGTAGGGTGGTGGTGCCCTTGGGCGTTGTCTCTGCTGCTGATACATGACACTCATGGTCCAGGCTGGGCCAGGGGAGGACCTCTGCGGCCTCAGCTAGGGATGAGTTCTAGAAAACAGTAACAGGGGGGGGGGGAGGGCAAGGAGGAGGAGCAGAGTCTCTCGGTCTCCTGACGTCTTTTGAGGGCCTGCGTGTCACCAGTTAATGACCATTCGGTGCCACCTCCTCACAGGCCTGGTGGACTGGAATAGCCTGGTTTGGGCTCTGCTGCCTTTATGACCTCTGACGAGTCCCTTCTCCAAATGAGCTTTCGTTTCCCCTTTGAAAGCCTGAGAGGGCCGGGCGAGAGCTTCCCAGAGCGTCCTCAGCACTCCACACCCAAGGAGTCTCTCCGGGGGAAGCACCGACCACCTGCATTCCCTTCCCTTGGGGGCCTGACAATGCAGAGCCCAGAGCTCAGTCTCAGACCTACCGAACAATTCTGGGGAAAGATGCCCAGAAACCCACCGATTTAAAACCTCACCAAAGTTGGAGAGCCGCCTTTGCTCTGGTGAGAGCTAATGAAACTTGGGGGGCTGCTGCTCAGGAGCCACCTTGTCAGAACTTGTTTCACAAACAGGGAGGCCCTGTGGGCGGCTGTCTTAGGGACGGAGTATTGAAAAATTCCATAGGGCCGGTGTTCCCCCAGGGGAAAGATTCAGCCCTCCTGGTGGCATTTTGAGATGGGAACAGGATACGGAAAAGCTGAAGAGCGCCTCCTGGCTGCCAAAGGGACCGGAATTCTGACTAGGCTGTGATGAGACCCCCTTCAGTGAGCCCTGGCTTAGCCGGTGGATAAAAACTGAATGGTCCACTTGAGCAGGGGGTGGGTTACTGTGGGGTGTGGCATACCCTGACTTCTTCTACTTAATAAAGGTAATTTTTAGAACAGTTTTAGGTTCAGAGCAAAACTGGGGGGAAGGTAGCGATTTCCCATATGTCCCCACCCCCGCCAACACGATAGGCTCCTCTGCTGTCCACGTCCCCACCAGAGTGGGGGTTTTGTTAAAATCTGTGAACCTGCACTGGCATGTCATTATCACCCACTGTCCAGTTACATTAGGGCTCCCTCTTGACGGTGCATGGCCTGTGCGTTTGGACGAATGTGCGAGGACGTGAGTCCCTCATTACAGTATCATTCGTACAGAGGATTTCCATCGGCCTAAAAATCCTCTGGGTTCTGCCTGTTCATCTTTTCCTCCCCTCCACCCTGGCAACCGTGGACCCCTTTACTGTCTCCTTAGTTTTGCCTTTTCCAGGATGTCACAGAGTTGGAATCATACAGTACGTCACCTCTTCAGATTGGTTTCTTTCACTTGGTAAAATGCATTTAGGGCTCCTCCGTGTCTTTTCATGACAGCCCTATTGTCTGAAGTACACGAAATTGAATTATTTGAAAAAATAGAGGAAGTGGGTTTGAGGTCAGTGGAAGACCCTTGAGGTACTGTCAGATCCAACCCCATCTGTTCACAGGAGGGGGGGGGCAGCTGAGGCACAGAGAGGGAAGGCAGCTTGCTCAAGGACACACAGCTCCACAGTGATGGCATTGGGCTTAGAATAGTCCCTGTCTTCAAGGCTGGCAGGCTGAGGCTCGCTGTTGTAGGAATAATAATAACCCAACTCGCCCTATTACCCCACCCCCAAAACTTCTCCAGCATTATCCTCCAAGCCTCAAAGATAAGGATTCAATCTCAGCTCTAGTTTCAATGGGGACGACAAAAACAGACTTCATGACACCAAGTTTTTGTAACGAGAGCTGATGGGGGTTCTCAGGGCAGATGTCTGTCTCTCTCTCTCTCACACACACACCCTTCATCTGAGGAGCCAGGGATACCATCAGCGTCATCTGAGTCGCCTCCCCGTAGGGCTTGACTCATCCCGCTCTGTCCTTCCCCTTTTCTGAGCCCCTCCTCTCTAAGCCTCTCCCTCTGCTTATTACCTTGAGGATCCTTGGTTCCTGGCAACGAAGGAAAGAACCTCAAGAATTAGGAAGATGGCTTTGCCGAATGCAGAGCCAGCACTCATGTTCAGGGAAAAGCAGGAATTTTGAGGTCCGGGGTCACAAAGGAATTTAGCTCCACCCATATAAGACTGAGTGCGTTTTCAGCTGTTTGTTGCGTCCTGCTGGGGTTTGAGTTTCAGTTTCATGGAGGGCAACTGGATTAGCTGTTGAGACAGATGGTTGCTCAATGGAATTCAATATCGCATTCACCCCTGCTCATCCTGTGAGCTTCTGCCGGAGTTACTAGCCCCATTTTACAGATCGGGAAGTGAGATTTAGAGGCTTAAGAGACCCAAGGTCAAGCAGAGTGAAATAAAATGGGGACCCAGTGTTTCTGCGAGAGATCTGTATATTTAGTTCTAATAAAGAGCAAGAGGTAAGATAATAAATTATGCAGCAGATAACAAAAAGCCCATTCATACTCATTATCTCATTTCACCCACTGATAATCAAGGAGGATGACGCTGTTCCAGTTTTACCGAGGAGGAAATTGAGAATCAAGGAGGTTGGTGACGTGCCTAAGAGCACAGAGCTTCTACGGGGTGACAGGTCCAGGAATTTCTCCTCCTACTTTTCTGTCAACAATGGGTTCGCTCATTTTCTCAGGTTTCTCTATTATAATTCTTCTCTATTTATTGTTTAAAGCAAGATTATTTTACCCCCTCTTCCCCCTAATGCTTCTCTCCACTTGACATGCTTTTCCAGATTAGGGTTTCTCAACCTCATACTTCTTCTAGACCAGAGTTTCTGAACCTCATGACTATGGACATTTAGGGCTAGATAATTCTTTATTGTGTGTGTGTGACTGCTCTGTACAATGTAGGACATTGAGCAGTATTCCTGGCCCCAACCCATTAATGCCAGCAGCACCCTCTCTAGCTGTGACAACCAGAAGTGTTCAGGCATTGCCAAATGTCCACTGGTGGGCACAATCACTACCTATCAAAAACCACTCATCTAGTCCAGCTTGGTCCACTAGAACTTTCTGTGAAACAGATATGTTTCCAGTAGAAATCTTCTGTGTCTGTGCTGTTCAGTGTGGTAGCTGCTGGTCACATGTAGTTACTGAGCATTTGAAATGTGGGTAATGTGACTAACAAGCTGAAACTTTAATTTAAATTTAGCTACAAGTGGTTATTAGCTGCTGTATTATACAGCATAGCTCTAGATAGCAACGCAGCAGGGGTAGAAAGAGAGGGCTTTGATGGACCACTTGAACCCTAAAAGCAGTCAGGAGAGGTTCCCAGAAGAAATCTGATCAGCTTCCTGCTTCACGGTGGCCAAGGGAGCACCAGACTAGAAATGACACTTGGCATAGGCACCACCCCTAACCATGCCTGTGCCCACGGTAGGCATTACTAGTCAATTACCACACATTTTCCTACTAGGCCAGGCATACCTCAGGATCTTTCTCAACACAGCCCTTCAGGCAGCCCTAGCTACAGATCAGTGGGTGCTGACATGCAAGAGAAACATTACTGCCCATCCTTGCCCTAGGCCAGAAGGCCCGTCTGTGAGGTCCCGTGTCTCATCAGGCTGTGTGGTGGTTGGCAAAGGGTGTGTGGCCAACCTAGATCAGTGGGGCAACCACAGATTTGGAGTCAGGAAAGGCAACATTCTGGAGGAACCAAGATTTTTCTCTAATTATTTCCGTAAGAAATACACTCACAGCATGATTTAGGAATAGAGACGGGGTGGTGGGGGTGGGGGAGAGGAGGTGCTGGTGTGTCAGCCACTGATGTACAAAGCATTTGGAGATTTCAACAGACCTGTATATGATATTGTGATTTATAAGAAAAATATGTACTTGGCCATTCAGATGATCAACGTGCATTTCTCATGTACTTGGTCTTCATCCACAGTTCCTGACCCATAGCTTCCAAAACCCTTGGAATTTCCTAAGGTTGAGAGTAATAAACCTGTTTTTTTCTCTTTTTTTCTTTTGCTATCATTAATGTACAATTAAACGAACAACATTATGGTTACTAGACCCCCTCTATTATCAAGTCCCCACCACATACC